CAAATATTGAGAATCTTCTGGCAATTTTTTTTAGAAACTTTCGGAGACGAAAATCCAGAAGCCAGAAAAGTTTGGAAATCGGAAGCCAATGCCGTAGGAGCCATTTCCAGGGGAAGTTAGGAGAAGCTCGGTAAAACCTTACAATAAGTCGGAAAAAACCTATGGAGAGTGACTTATGAAGAAACTTCCAGAGGAAGTCAAAAGAAACTTCTGGGGGAACTCGATAGATACATCCGGTAGAACTTTAATTGAACTTCCTGGAGAAGACGGAAAAAACTTCCAGCAGACACTGGGACAAACTTCCCACGGTGGATTGGAAGAAACTTCTGGAAAAAGTCGGACATCAGAGGGCTTGCGGATGGATCAAGGAGAAGATGGAAATATCTGGAAGAAATAGATTTCTGGGATCTCTCAACTTCCCGATTTTTTTTAATTTTTTTAAGTATCTTGAAACTGCCGATAAAAAACGCAGAGCTTTCCTTAAAATGTTCTCACAATGTTCTAATGTTCATGTAACTTCTATTACGTTTCCAAAATTTTCATGAACCTCTCGGAACTTAACTGAAGTTTTCAAAATTGCCAGAGTTTCTCGGAACTCATTTAATGGTTCAGAAATTTCCTTGAATGTATATGTCCTGATGTTCTCAAAGCATCCCTAAAGTTATCTAAATTCTCCTAACAAATGGAACTATCCTGAAAACCATTAAATTTCTTTGAAGTTCTTTGGGCTTGTGAAGTTTCCAAAATATTTCAGTTTCCTTAAGTTCATTGGAGTTCTCTGGGCTTTCCTGAGATTCCCGGGTTCTCGGATTAGAACAGAAGTTAATGAAAGTGTCTATAATTTATCGGAACCTACCCAAAAGTCCGAACTATTCTGAAGTTTCAAAACTTCTGAAAAGTTCCTGAAGTTTTCCTGAAACTAATGGAACCGCAATAAAACCAACAATCAATACGAAACTATCGACTATAAATTGGCTCACTACTTGACTAGCCTATTAGTCCCAAGCAAATCGATTAACGTACACCATTCCAGTCGAAACTCTAGTACTATACAATGTTTGTTTTGATTTGCTTTGAAAATTTTACAGATACAATTAGGGGTTCGTGGATTTTCTTAGAGTTACCTCTATGATAAAACTCTGGAAGCATTTCTGAAGTCCCGGGGAAGTTGAAAAAACGGACGGGAGGAGACGGAAGAACCTTTCGCGCGAAACCAGAAGAAGCTTCCAAGGGAAGTCAAAATAGCTTTCCGGAACGAATCGGAAAATAACTTACAGGGCAGGTTAAGGTGAACGGAAATTCCTAAGGAAAGTTGGAAGAAACTTCAAAGGTAAGATTAAAAAAATTTCAGTAAGTTCAAAAATTAACGTTTTCTATCGTGGGTCTATTTTTCCACTGAATAAAAGTATTTCCCGATTCCCAGAAATTATTGGGATAAACCATCAGCTGTTTCTCGACTCCTTGGTAACCAAAAACGCGAGGAAATGTAAGCATTAGTCGAAAGAGTATTAAGCATAAGACATTTTTAAAGATGATTTTTTTTAGAGCAGGCTCAAAAATTTGAATTTTTAATAAGATAAAAGTCTCTCACAATAGTTTTCTCTGACAATTCAGTGCGGGCAGACAGATCATTTTGAGTATTAATGAAATCAAAAAAATCGGTACAAATCGGTATTAAAACTCAAAAATCGGTATTCTGAGAAACCTTATCTGTATATCGGTATCAAGTTTGAAAATCGGTATAAATACCGATAAATCGGTATATCTGGCAACGCTGACTCACACATAGTTTACCTCCACTCTCCACTCCACTCTTCGCATGACCATTATGAATAATTTTATGCTAAAGAATAATTTTATTATATTACTAAAATAAAAGTCTGATAGCTTCATTTTTGAAGTCTCAAGAACTTCCTGCGTCCCAGATCATGAATTTTTTTGTTAGTCTGAATTTACTTGGAAATCTTTACAGGATATCTTCGCCTTCTTTTTAGTTCAATTAGAATCATCCTAGAATTCTATCAATTTTTTTCTATACTCCCCTAAAATAATGTTGAAAATATATAAACTTTTCCAGTAACATTCTAAAGGCCCACGCACATTAGATCCGGATCGGACGCGTTGCGGCAAAGTGACAGCTAAATCTATTGTCTAACTGTCAAATTTACGTCAACGCAACGCAAACGGATCTAATGTGGGTGGGCCTTAACAGTTCTTAGCATTACCTCTTGTAATCTCTTATAAATCACTCTCCATTTCCACAACTCCCTCAAATTGGTAATAATTTACAAGAATTGGCTCAATTTTGTGTCCATTTTTTTCTATGAAATTCTTAAAATATTCTTAACAATTTTCTTGGTACACTCTTCAGAATGACCGTCACACTCTTCTCAGACCCGTCCGATAATTCCCTTTAAACTGCTTTGTAGGTAAGGTCAGAATTGTTTTGAAATCCTTTTCAATATTCCTAAGTACTCAAGTACTTTGTCAAAATGGTTTTGAAAGTCTCCTAGAAATTGTGCTTAAAATTTTATTAAAATTAGTCTCCATAGAAACATTGGACAGAATTCCTTTGAAATTATTCTCACGATTCGTATCAGCATACTCCTTAAGTTTCGTTATAAGAATTTTCTATGATTTCTCTTCCGGGTTGTATTGCCTTTATTGACAAAATCTCCATTGAATTGTCATCAGATTTGACAAGACAATTGACACCGTCTTCAACCAGAGGTTGCACAGACTCAATATTTAACACTAGACAACGGACAACACACCACACCCATTAGACCAGTAGGGAAATTTTCAGATTGCCAAAATTTGCAACGGCTGGAGCGGGAATCGAACCCTCACTTCGTGGACCTCACAATACGCATAAATGAAGGGTGACGCCGCATGAACCCGAAACCCACAAATGTGGATGTAATTCTACTCCAAAGTAGCTTGAAATTCTCCTTTGATTTTACAAAGAATTCGCCGCACACTTAACTGTGAACTATTTTCAGAATAACCTTAAAATTCCAATAATGTCCAACGTTGATGACCTTTAATAATTAAAGTGATATTTTCAAAGCAACATGTTTAAAAAATCTGGGAAAATCTGGAACATATTTAAAAAATCTGGAAATATACGTGGTCTGTCTGTGTATCTGGCAAGACGACTAAAAATCTGGAAAATCCAGATAAATCTGGAATACTGGCAACGCTGATTGTAGGTTCGAAACCCACCGGTGAACTCTTAGATTTTTTTATCGCAAATTTTCTCACACACATCTCTTATCGATGATATGTGTTTTCCTTTCAATATCTTATAACATTCTCATTTAGATATATTTTCTGCACACTGAATTTAGGTCGGTGAAATTTTATCGGGTGTTTGAACAGCTGAAAATTCGGTCAAATTTCAAATGAACATTACAAGTAAGAAGTCAGTAAAATCGATCAAAAATATATGTTTATCAATAAATGGGGTTAACTGAACTAAGACAGTTTAAATTGAAAATAAATTTTCTTATTTCAGTTTTAAACTTTTACCGAACAGTTCCGTAGTTTAAAAATTACTAAACAGCAAAGGCCTGGATTGACATACAAGATAAAACTCATTTCGTAAAACTGATGGAATCTCGTGGAAATTGGATTTATAAATTCAGTATTCATCAAGTACATAGTGTGCATCCACATAGCTACAAAGTAAACCCTACGATAACTAACATGGGCTCACATGTGGGTTCTAGCATTGCCAGTTCATAATCTATGCAACATAATCTGCTCCAAAAGTCACCCAATTCAAATGAAATCCAGTTGCACACGGCAACGCAATTGATCCGAACCAGCTTCCAGGAAAGCGCAAATTAAATCCAAATTCACCATTCGCTTTACAATTGCAAGCTTGCGCTTCCCCCATAATTACTTTGCTCCGGCTGCCAACTTTCCACGGAAATGTACTCCTATGAAATAACAATGAAACAATCAATTCAACAACAACGACAACAACCATGATTCGAAATTGAAAACACAACTTTTCTAATTAGACCCTCCGGAAACGCACGGGGATTTCCTCAAACCCTACCAACATGGAGCTCCAATCAGGAAACCGATTAGGAAGGGTACACCGGAAGCTCGTTTAACAATTTGAAACGCGACGGATTGTATTCGCATCGTACCCGAGTCAAGTCAGGCGAAACGTCAATTAATGCTACGTGAGCTGGAATTCGAATAATTCATTTCGGGGATGCCTCGAGAGTAAACTGTCCGTCCAAAACGATTGCCTTCCAGAATGATAGAACTTGCGTATTGAACGATATCAATGTTAAAGGGAATGCTCATTTTCTTCCAGGTCATTTAGATATAATTGCCTTTAGACATTAGAAATACCGACCGAAATGATGTGATGATCATTAGTGGCAGTGAAAGTGGTGTTCTCCATATAGCGATGATAATAATAATTGTGATTTTGCAAATGATTGTCTTTGTTGGTGCTTTACTTTTTTATCCTATAATTCTCTAGGGTGTGGAAACCGGTGAAGCAGAAATGAATTTTTTCTCCTTTCAACTTGTTCGATGGTTCTATTTCCGTTCATTTTATCACAAACGTATTGTTTCTTCCTACCATCACAGTGTGACGTGTTCTTGACTTCATATTCGTTGATATCATAAGATAGTGACTCAAGATGTGTCTATTCATTTTGCTGTTGAGAGAGATCTCCTCCTTGATATATCTAATCAAACTCACATTTTCCGTAACTAATCGATATCCTTCTCCTTGTCGTTTTTTACTAACGAATTGGCTAAAAAAAAAGTTGTAAAATCAAGCAGAAATTAATTCCAAATTTTCAACAATCCAATCCATAACTCTAGTTGTTGTGATTCGAGTCATATATGCATACATGCAATCCTTGAAAACTCCAAAACCTCGTCGAGGCAGTGGCAAATGTTTAACTTTCGATCTGTTCTTTTTGCTTTTCTCCGTCTTGATTTGAACCGTCGAATATCGAAACCAACAGGACCAAATCGAACCAGCGCTGGATGAAGCTCCGCACGACGGTGCAGATCTCGTCGGCAATAAACAAGAAGCCACCACTCAAACGAGAGGATTCCTTCATGAAGCGATTCTCCACTCGGCAGATACCGGAGACGCAGGTGAGTAGCAACATGATGAGCGTAGGGAATGTTTTCTGTTACAAAAAGCTTTACCAGCTGGAGCGAGAATCAAACGCTCACTTCGTGGCACACAGACAATAAGCTGGTTTTGGGGTTATCCAAAAATTCTGTAAGGGTTTTTGAGCAATTATTTTACTCCCCCTCCCTCCCTTGTAAGAGACTGTAAGATTTTAAGTTACCTCCCTTCTCCTCCTAAAATCTTAGAAAGATTTAAAAAAAAAATAGATGAATATTCACGTGAAATCTGCCTGAAAAAGCCTAAATCTTGCATGACCATTAGAGTGATGCAAAATTTGAAATTTTCACTCCACAATACTTAAACGATTCCAAATCAGATCCTGACTCACCTCTCAAAATTTGAACCCATTTGGTGAGAAACTGAGATGGCACAAACCATTTGAAGTTTGTTTGGGAATTACTATGGTAAAACCAAGATTTGTGCTCATGTCTATCTAATAATTCACCATATCGGTCTGCTTCAAAAGCTTTCAACTGTTCTTGTAGGAAATTTTCCCAGCTACAGCTTTGCTCAAGACCACTTTTTGATTAAATGCAAGGATCGAAAGTTATCAATGGTTCAATGCGCTGATGTCTTATGATCATGCTCAATCAACTGCTCAGCAGGCAACATTGATGTTTCTGGGGCGTTGAATAGGACACACAAATCATGGCTACTATGTCACACTGCAAAATACAGTGTTGCCTACAGAGCAGCTGCTTGATCATGTCATAAGTTTACCAATCTCTTAAATAATTAATACCTGTTTCCTGTCTCGTTTTACATAGAAACAATCTTGGACAAAGTTGTAGCTGAGAAAATTTTCTATAAGAATGGCTATCGAACTGTTTCGCAGCTCAATATGGAAAAAGACATCAAGATCCTTGATTGATGGCACACGGTTGACACTTGAAGCGTTCATCTTATAATCTAAAATGGCAGTTGTCCTAGATCGGTTGAACGAGATGATGTTACATTTACGAATATTCACTTCCATTCCGTTTAATGAGCACCATTCAAGAAGCGAGTCGATATCCATCTGAAGAGCGCAACAATCGACCATGGAGGTTATCAGGCGGAAGAATTTCAGGTCATCAGCGAACATGTACTTCGGTGATCTGATGAGTCCGCACAGATCGTTAACAAAAAGCACGAAAAGTAATGGTCCCAAATGACTTCCTTGGGGAACCCCGGAAGTAATTGAGAACGTTTCAGATGAGGTTCCACCGAGGCGTACAAAAGCCCAACGCTCAACGCTCTTGTCGGTTGGCGATTTCAACCTTCCTAATTTGCGATGGCATCTTGACGAGGACATCAATGGATTCATTCCTTCGAATGTATCTACTGATACTGAGTTGAACTTTACAGAAGCAATGTTTGCCAACGGGTTGAGACAGATTAATAGTTTCGTCAACACCAATGGCAGACTGCTGGACCTTGTTTTTACCAATCTACCGGAATATCTTGACCTGATTGCACCATCTTCTCCGCTGTTGCCTATAGATAACCATCACACACCAGTTATTTTACTACTTGACGAGAGTGACGCACCAACCCTACTTGACGATCATGATCATTGTTTCAAATTTGACTATTCGGCATGCGACTTTGACTTGTTGAACTCTACTTTTATGGATATTGAGTGGGAACGATTATCGAATAATGGTACGGTAGATCAGATGCTATCAGCTTTTTACGAATCTCTCTCAGAAGTTATCAACCGTCATGTACCTCGAAAAAGACAAAAATCGATATCTGTTTTCAACCAACCGTGGTGGACTCCTGAGCTACGTAACCTTCGTAACAATGTACGTAAGATGCGCAACCGATATTTCCTTACAAAAACTGGGTCTGACAAAGCTAGACTCCGTGAGCTTGAGTTGGAGTACAAAGTCATTCTTTCTGCAACACATGAAAACTATTTGCTCAGTATTCAGTCAACCGTCAAGCAAAATCCTTCACGCTTCTGGGACTTCATCAAGAAACGGAAAGCTGGAAATGGAATCCCTGGCTCAGTCAACTTCGATGGAACTACTTCTCGGTCAAGCTCAGAAGCAGCCAATCTTTTTGCTACTTTCTTCGAGAGCGTGTTTAGTAAAGCATCACCCGTGCAACGTCAAAACTGTTTTGAACAGATACCGTCCCATAACATTAATCTACCGTGTATACAGTTTTCTCCAGACGAAGTACAGAAAGTTCCCGATGAGCTTGATTCAAAGAAAGGACCCGGAACAGACAGCTTGCCTCCTGTGTTTTTGAAGAACTGCGCCGCTACGCTGGCGACGCCCATCGCTGCTGTTTTCAACCGTTCGCTCCAAGACAGAACGTTCCCAAATGCATGGAAAATGGCGTCCATAGTACCGATCCATAAATCCGGAAGCTACAAGTGTTTAACCAATTATCGAGGTGTATCCATACTTTGTAGTCTCAGTAAGGTATTTGAGAAACTGATCCACACCGTTTTGTACAGAGCTGCTGCACCGATCATCTCCAACAAGTCAGCACGGCTTTATGAAGCATCGTTCAACAACATCGAACTTAATGTGTTATATATCAGCGATATCCCGTAGCTTAGAATCGAAGCAACAAGTGGATTCGGTTTATGTTGATTTTGCGAAAGCGTTTGATACAGTACCGCACAATCTCATCGCTGCCAAAATGAACCACATTGGATTTCCGACATGGATCACTGAATGGCTCTATTCATACCTGTCTAATCGCAATGCTTTCGTGATGGTGAATTCCGCACGCTCCAGGACTTTCAACATACCATCTGGCGTGCCACAAGGCAGTGTTCTCGATCCTCTTATTTTTATCATTTATGTTAATGACCTGTGTGACAAATTGTAACACTAACACAATTAATTAAAAATCCAATCTGATTTCAGCTTCAAGCTGTTCAACACAAAAGGCTGCTGGGAAGAAGTTTTTCAACGAGCATGCTATGATCATTTGTTTTACTTGTAAGACACAAGAAGAGGTTGCAAACCTCCCAACAAACAATTTTAGCTGCCGCTTAGCTTATACAGGCAAAAATTAGCTGCATAAGGCAAATTTTGTCTGTAGAAGCTAATCTGCAGCTAAAATTGTTTGTTGGGCTATCAATTTTGCATTATAATGCCGTGGACACACTTGAATGGCAAACTATGGGCATGAGCATTATTTGTATATTAAACTATAAGCAAAGACCAAGGGGTGAGACAGGTTTACTCTGAGCTGCCTTTTTGCAGCGAGTAACTCGCGAGTAACTCAATGTACCTCTATATTTTCTATGCCTACTCCGTTTACTCTTTTTAAGCATTTACGTCTCATATTAGACGTTAGTTTTACATTAAGACCCCTCGAAACATAGGAAAATCCACGAACCCCTCATTTTATCTGTCAAGCTTTCATAGGGAATCAAAACAAACATAGTGTAGTACTAGAATTTCGACTAGAATGGGGTACGTTAATCGTTTGCTTGGGACGTTAGTTTCTACCAGTTGATATTATGGAAGAACCTGTGCTGGTGCCTGCTTACTACCAATAACAACCTACACTTCCAACCAGCTTTAAGGGTTGTTCTTCCTCGTCAGCAACCAGTCCCAGTCGTCACTCCGAAAGGATCATCTCTGATCAAAAAAGCTCTCCAATATTCTTCTAAACATCTGAAATTCCACCTATAATGCAGCGATCCCATCATCTTCGATATCTACAGTCGTAAAAGCAGTCCCATTGGAAAATGCATTACCAGTCAATGTGTTAATAACTAACTCCGATCCCCTTTCGACTAACATTCCCGTTGGCACCATGGCAAACATATGTTCAGAGAATGTCGCTGCCACTGCCGAAGCCGAAGAGGAGGATGGCGATAAAGTAGCTGCTGTTTTTCGGAGAGTGCGGTCCTCGTTTGAACTTCAAACCCATTAACGATCTACTGGACTAAGCCGAAGTGAAAGCTCGTCAGGAAGACGGAGTACAAATCAAACTGACAGATTCTCTTCGTCGACTTTCTCCTGGAGACTTCGGGACCGAATCACGACCATCCGGAAGGCCCAGCAAAAGCACCAATAGCGGAGATGGATGTCCCCCGTCAGCAGAACGGCGCCGTGGTAATTCAGAGCTTGGTTCGCAGTTCCATCCAACGGTAGTTTGTCAAGCGATGGGACGGAATTGCTTCGACGAGTATCGATGTAGAGTATTTGGTCAGGCAGATCGGGTTTTTCTACCACATCAACCAGATAAGCATTTGACCGTCGTAAATGTAAGGTTGCAATAGGTTCCTTTCACGTTCACGGTTGGTAAGGGTCAAACGAAGGTTATTAAACTGGGATGATTTAAATGTCTCCGAGTTCCGCTCGGTGCACCTTCAAATGTTGCTGTGATGCGAAAAGTGAGAAAGCAAATGACAGCGATCATGCTCACTGAGCAATGTGAGTTACTCGAGGTGCCTCAAAAGCAACTCTTAAATTGCTCATGATTGGGAGCTGTCTACGACCACTATGAGGCAGGTACAATCGCGTCATCTGCCGCTCAAAGGTAAATGCTTCGAACGAAATTGATAGCATAGATTACATACTCAAGGAAGGTTTGCGTATTTACTCATTTTTCTATGCGTTGCTTCTACCTTCACTCAAATGCAGCGCTACTGTATCTGTCACTTGGATTTTTGCATAGTTACCAGTCTTCTTGTTATGATGTTTTTGCCATAAGCACATACATGATCACACTTGAATAGTTGTTGTATAGTGCTCATAATTATTATACAAATAATGCTCATGCTCATAGTAGGTCAAACAAGTGTATGCGCGGGATAAGAAGCACAATCAGCGATTATATGATCGCCGACTGAGTGATTGCCAGAGCGAATGAAAATTGATAACTTCGGGAAGCGAAGGTTTTATGTGTCAAACACATGCTTTGCAACCTCTTGTTGTGTATTACAAATTTTAAATATGATCGTAACTTCTAATGATTTCATAATGCCGAAAAAGTTGGAAGGGTTGTACAGGGTGCGTGACGAATTTTTGCAGTAAATTTCAAATAGTAATTTCTCATGCTTGTGCATCATGATTTAGATTAAGATTTAAATGTTGAGTAAACGTAAAGATGTCGTAACAAGAGAGCAATCTGTCAGCCGTTGTCGCTTTATTGCGCGCCGGAGTATGCATGAAAGAAATAATTCGGTCGGTAAATGTGTCTGAAAGAACAGTGTATAATATTAAAAAAGGCTTGGGAAAGTGATAAGACTGCTCATACTGCTAATAAAGCACAGAAATGGCTTACGGAAAATATTTCGTAAATTTGGGAGGAAGAAATTTGGCCCCCAAGCAGTCCCGATATCTATCCGTTGGATTATTTTGTATAGGGCTTCGTCCAACGGGATACCAATAGAACCCCTCACACCACACTTAAGTCGCTAAAAGCTAAAATCAAGGCAGTGATGACATCTATGGATCGAAACATTTTAAAACGTGCATACTGCAGTTTCCGGAAGCGTCTAACTACAGTCGTCGAAAGGGAAGGCAATTTTTTTTGAATAAATTTACTTACAACTTCCATATGTTGCGAAAGAAAATAAATCGCACAAAATTCATTGCTAGAATAACTAACTGGTGTATTTTTTATCAAATATGCCATTTACTGCCAAAAATTCGTCACGCACCCTGTATACTAGATACGACCTCAGGGTTGGCGTTGGATAACGTCTGTTATGTGTTGTACTTAATTGTGTATAATATATTTTAGGGATATTCCTTAATGTCTCTTTTGCGAAAGCTTGGTGGCCCTGAAAAGGGCCGTTTTGTTGGGCTGATGTTGTTGGGTTTGCTCTACTCTGTCGCCCTGGAGGAGCTTTGGAATGATGTTGGTAGTTCGAAGACAGACAGCATCTCCCCTTCCAGCGTTCCCACACCCCAGTATAGTCTCCAAATTTAAGTGTAACTGTGATATTCTGGAAAGAAATTGTCTTCAGAACTAACTCTTTGTCGAATTATTGGTTGTGGTTTTGGAATGATGGTTATGCCGAGCATGGGTACCGGATGGCGATGGCGATTTTGATGAGCGGTTTGCATGCCGGGCGCTTTGCTTCAACCACGAGTGCGGTGAACTCCGGGTAAATATTATTACCAATCAGTAGAACAGCGCTAGGTGGTATGATGAACCGGGAAATCCACTCGAGATGTCGAGAGGGTAGATGGTTGTTTTGGAGGTTGTGATGAGGACGATTTTGGAACGGAACTGGTTGTGCTCGATGATGCATCGTTCTTCTTCACACAGTCTGCGAAGACGAGTTCGATTCTGAAATAATTTTTGTAGAAATGCAATAAAAATGGAATCTATGGCTCTGCGAAGATTCAACTTTCGATATTCAAGTGTCGGAAAGGCATTAGAAAATTAATCGTTAAACTCTTTCTTGATAATGTAGTGGCCATTTTTATAACGCGCTCGGCGTAGTTGCCCTTGCGGAGCAGACGGTGAATACGACCGACTGAGAACTGCAGCAGCTGGGCATTCCATGACGGCGGCCCAGTATACCGGAGCACTGGCACCAACGCACTCGGCGTAGTTGCCTTTTCGCCCCCAGGCTCTGCTGCCGCTGCTCTGCTGCCGTTGCTCTGCTTCCGCTGCTCTGGTACTGCTGCTCTGCTGCTCTGCTGCTGGGTCGGCGATCGGATAGACAATGATGGAACGGGCGACCTTGTTGGACGCTTATATAGTAGAACAGAAAATAACAGAGGTGTCAGATACTCGCATCTGATGTCTCGGTTGGAGAAAGTATAAGAATATAAAAAAAATCAATCGATTTTCACCATCTTTAGACAATGGTTTACTTTTAACCATTTTTCAATAGTTTACAGAATAAAATCAATAGTTTTGAAACATTCAGCAAATTGCTAGAAATATTTCCAATCGATTGATGCCACTATCTCGTAAATCTATCGAGAGACGGTTGAGTTATTATCGTTCAAAATCTTTTAATTTTTCGTAACGCATGCAAAATGACTGTTTTCAATTTTGTACCCCCGTATGTTGCCGAAAGACGTTATCCAACGTCAAAACTTTTTTTTTACCTGGAATAAGTATCGTGCAACCTTGTTTAAAATGTGTAAAAACATCCTTAAAATACCAAAATGGCATTGAAAACACTTAAATCTTTTTCAAAATGACTAAATGAATAGTGGTTATTTTCTCAACAGATATCACCTAAATACTTTTACCTTATTATCGAACTTTAAATCTCATGAACCTACGATAGCATTTCTTAACCATTTCATATTTTCCCCTCGCTTTCGTTTCAAAACCTGCCCAGGAAACGGTCGAGGATACCGGCTCGGAGGGTGCAGCCGACCCAGACAAAACGGCACGCCGCCGGCGGCGTCTCAAGATCCCAAAATCCGTCGTCAATCCGGACGAAAACTTCTACTTCTACTGGCTGATGGTGGTGACCATTGGGATCCTGTACAACCTGTGGACGCTGATCGTGCGCCAGAGCTTTCCGGAACTGCAGTCGAACGCGTTCCGATTTTGGCTGAGCTGTGATTGTATTACCGATGTCGTTTTTATACTAGACGTAGTTGTCCAGCTGCGGACGGGCTATCTCGAACAGGGACTGATGGTAGGTATTTTCATTAATGGGTCTACTGATTCGGCATCTTTACGACACTGTTTATTCTCCCAATAGGTCTATGACTCGCGGAAACTGGCGGGCCACTACCTTCATTCGAGTGAATTTCTCCTAGATTTAGCAACTTTAGTACCTTTAGATATCTTACAAATTCGCCTCGGTACACAGCCCTTGCTGCGATTTCCTCGCTTTTTTAAGGTCGGTTGAATCAACCCATTTAATAAGCGCAAGATGAATGATTTATTTTCCTCCTTTTTTCCTCCACCCCCATTTCGGCAGGTTTATCGTGCAATAAAGTATTACTACATCGTCGAGAGCCGAACGGTTTGGCCCAATCTGTGGCGGGTCGTAAACTTGATTCACATTCTGCTCATCCTGGCACACTGGTTCGGGTGCTTCTACTTTCTGCTCTCCGAGGCGGAAGGCTTTCAGGTAAGTCTCGTCGTTTTCATCGCTCTCGGCAGGATCGATAGCGCGGAACATATGAATCATACGGTTGGTGCGGGGGTGGCACCATCATCGGCACCCATGTATGTGATAATAAACCGCTTTCACCTCCCATGTGAACGGGACGAGAACACATTCAGCCACATGTTCTAGGAACGTGATTCTCATTTTTTTTTATTTGCTCTGCCGACGGCGGCGGCGGCACGAAAGTGAAAATCTGTTCTGCTTCACTGATTTCAACGGGTGATTTGGTTTTCTCATATTCATTTCATTTCGCAGGGAGACTGGGTCTACCCGTATCGGCCGGGAGACTATGCTACGCTTACCAGGAAGTACCTCGGCAGTTTGTACTGGTCGACGCTGACACTGACGACAATCGGAGATCTGCCGACGCCGGAAACCAATGCTGAGTAAGTGTGAAATCATTGACGATGGAATTGATAATGGTGAAACAAGTTTAATTTATTGCTTTGGAAGGTAGCAGACAATGTTGGGAGGGACGAAGGAGTCATGACTACGATACTATGAAGTTTTCATCTATCCAAGGAAAGTCTGTATATGAAAATAGGAACCATTCCATTCTTTCGCATATTTATAAATCAGTTAAATGATTCAATTTGTGAACTTTTCACGCCTGGAATCTACGGTAGATACAATTTTTCTAATGAAGGAAGGATTCATGTTTGGTGACAGGGAACCTTAAATTAGTACCCATTCAAAGCCGAAATCAACACTTGACTCTAAAGATTTTTGTCATATTTTCAACCATCTATGCAAATATTCCTGAAAACTGATATACCATGTACACTACGAACAGGATGCCTCCGGTAAAATGTGTACCAGCAAACTTGCAATGTTTGAAAAATCATAGCGCAGCCATTAATTAACGCAACGAGCCGTCAAGTACGGATCCCATGGTCTACGAAAGCAACGACACCAGTCGTGTGAACGTATCTAGCGTATACGACACCGTAGATGAAAAACCTCCACCTCTGCTTGGTGGGGCTTGGTCCCAATCGAACCGGAGCCAGGCAGGGTCACCTGCTCACAACCAGCCAATATTTCCGCCAACGAGATCGCCTATCCGCAAACCTGCCAAAACATCCATTCTCCCGCGGGATTACCCCTGCCTTGGATGGGTGGAATTTTTTATTCGGTCTGCTGCTCGAGCCCACCGGTGGTTCTTCCCGATGTGCCATCTTCGCATTTGTTGGATGGAACGCCTCCACTTATCCTTGGTGAAGCTCTGAAGGACACGGTCTTGACCGACGAAATCGACGCCACCAGTCGCACGAACGTACCTAGCATCTACGACACCGTAAATGGAATGCCTACACCTCTCCTCAGCGGGGCTTAGGAGCATTCAACACCAAGTTCTTAACCTCCAAACCGACCTACCAATCGTTGGCTTTCGCTTCAAGAACGCCGCTAACTTAGCTATCGGCTGTACGTACCTGCCCTGCGGACGAATAGCCAACTTAGATGGAGACTAAAGTGCAGCTATTTCCAAGCTTCCGGAACCACGGCTCATCGTCGGTGACTTCAATGGGCACCATCCGGACTGGGTCAGCCCCCGCCCAGACCCCAGAGGTTCTACTCTGGCGAACATCTTCGAGAGTGAGGACCTGGCGGTGCTGAACGACGGCGCTCCCACCTTTTTTAATGGACGGCACACCACCGCGATCGACATTGCCACTGCCAGCTGATCTATCGCGAACAGGACACAGTGGAATATCAGTAACGACCTGCATTGTAGTGACCATTACCCGATCCGTATACAGCTTTCCGTAGGCGCGGCCCCTCCAACGACTCGGAGACCCAGATGGCGCTACGAGGAAGCCAACTGGGACGCCGTCAGGGAGACATCTGACGCTCTCCGTCAGCAACGCGATCCGAACGACATCTCAAGTTTCACGGAAGTACTCTACGAAGCTGCAACAGTATCTATCCCAAATTTGGAGGCGAACCAGCCTAAGGCTGAAAGCCTCCTAAATAAAGCTAAATAATAATAATAATATCTATCCCAAGGACGGGTAGCGGACCCGGGCGAAAAGCCCTACGTTGGTGGAACGAGGATACCAAATGTGCGGTGAAAGCGCGACGCAAAGCTTTACGCCGGTTTAAGCGTCTCGCCTTAGACGACCCTGGTAGGGCGGAAGCGCTGAAGTTTTACCGAGAACGCCATCTATCGTGCAGACAGGTGATCCGTGACGCAAAGCGATCTAGCTGATGGATTTCTTGGATTCAATCGACGAATCCCAATCATCGAGTGAATTGTGGAATCGCGTCAACGCTCTGAGTGGCAACCGGCGGTCTACTCCACCTACTATCCAAGCTCATGGCACCTCGATCTCAGAACCGAAGGACATCGCCGACGAATTAGGAAAATATCGAAGACAACAAATCAAGAAGACTGGCAACTCTTCCATTTTCTCATACGAACGCTATGAGACAGGTACAATCGCAGTACAAAGGTAAATGCTTCGAACGAATTTGATAGCAAAGATTATATCCTCAGACGAAGGGTTTGTGTATTTGCTCATTTTCTATGCGTTGCTTCCACCTTCACTCAAGTGCAGCGCTACTGTATCTGTCGCTTGAATTTTGGCAAAGTTGCCAGTCTTCTTGATTTGTTGTCTTCGGAAATGTGTTGCCGGCCTGTCTGCTGTCAGTGGCTACGACAGCGATTTCGTCCAGCGCGTCAAACCTTCCACAAGCAGCATTCGCGACTTGCGAATTCCACCCGATGTTCCTGCTCTCCAGATCAACGAAGCTCTTACCTTCCGGGAACTCCCATTTGTCCTCGGCAGCAGTAGTGGTATTAAAAAACCTCTCCCTCGACGGAAAAACGAGGCTACTCGCCCTCTTGAACGATCTATGGCTCACTGACTCGTATCCGGACCTCTGGAAACAAAGCTTGGTTGTGCCCATTCCGAAGAACAACACGGCGAGTGAAGAAGCCTCCTCCTTTAGGCCGATTGCGATCACTTGCTGCGCGGCAAAAGTGATGGAGCGAATGGTAAATCGGCAGCATGCATTCCGGCAAGGACGCGGCTCCTCCACTTACTTTTCAGCCCTCGGAAATGTACTTAAGGAAGCCCAGGACAACGGTCACCATGCTGAGTTATTTAGTCTCCCTTGATATTTCAAAGGCGTTCAACAGGACATGGACAACTGGTGTCATCACCATGATCGTACCTTCCAGGTGACCGTCGGGAACATTCGCTCGGATCCGTTCCGCGAAGAAACTGGAGTGCCCCAGGGATCCGTCATAGTGGTAACGCTATTCCTGATGGCAATGAACGGAGTTCAGCCGATTGCCCAAGAACGTGCACGTAATCATTTATGCCACCGACATACTCATCGTCGTAACGGAACGAACGACTAAGCGGACCAGAAACATAGCTTAAGCAGCAGTCTCCACCGTCAGCAGGTGGGCGCTTTCGGTTGGTTTCCAGTTCTCCGCCCCGAAGAGTGTACGGTGCCATATCTGTCACTTGGGCCATCTGATTTGAGGACCACCGATCACCATCCAAGATCACCCAATTCCGCTCAAGAACACAGTGCGTGTTCTGGGGGTAGTACTGGATTGCACCCTGAGCTTCAACCAGCACTTCAGGATGGTGAAAGAAAACTGTCGTAGCCGCATCAACATAGACAGGACAATCTCCCGCCCGCATCGCTCCAACAACCGTGAGATCCGCCTTCGTGTCACTCGGGTTGTTATCGACAGTCGACTTTTCTACGGCCTCGGAATAACCTGCTTAGCCACTGAGAAGCTTAATCACACCCTCGCTCCAGTATACAATACCTACGCACGCATCGTATCCGGCCTTCTCCCTTCCACGCCTGCAGACGCCGCATGACTGGAAATCGGAATCCTCCCTTTCCACTATCGATCTGCTGCAGCCATTGCTTCGAAAGCCGCTGCCCTCGCTGCTAAGACATCCGGGAATGAAAGGATCTTTCTCCTCAACGAAGGGAACAGAGCCCTCCGCACTGCAGCCAACCGTGACCTCCCCCCGGGGGCCAAGGTCCACTGGCATGGAGAGAAGAGTTGGCGATCAAACGTCGTCAAAATAGATAAGCGGATTGAGAGTGGATTCAACGCCGGAGATAACTCTGTAGCTTTGAGACGTTCTGTTGCAGAGCTTCTCGGGTCGGGTTATCCGGGGCACGTTCATCGTTTTACGGACGGATCGCGGTCGCGGGCTGGACTCGGAGTGGCAGGACCGAACACTGCAACGAGTCAAAGTCTACCGGAGGAGTGTTCCGTCTTTTCCGCTGAAGCCGCAGCTATTCTAGACGCAGCCATCACTCCGTGGCAGATCAACCGATCATCGTATTAACTGACTCACACAGCGTCATCCAAGCACTGGAAGCCGAAGCCCCGAGCCACTCCTGGATACAAGCCATTACATGGTACGCCCCACCTTCAACCGTCTTAACGTGGATGCCCGGACACTGCGGTGTTCCCGGAAACGAGGCTGCGGACAGACTGGCGGGATCTGGCGCATCCCGTCCCCGCTACACCAGGAACGTACCCCTCCTCGACGACAGGCGTTGGATTGTGAATACCATTATGGAAGCCTGGCAGCAGGAATGGTGCCAGTCGTAGACCACTTTCCTGAGGAAGATCAAGGGAACCGTACGCTTTTGGCCGGACAGCCAAGACTCCGGACCGGCCATGCGAGGATTTCCTGTAATTTCGGTGGGACACCTTTCCGCAAGGTCGGTTCAATCTGCAGCATCCCCGCCTCGGTGGAACACGTGCTGTGTGTCTGCCCGGAGTTCCAAAAGCTACGCGAACAACATGGACTCCCGGAGAACGTCAGTAATCTGCTTGGTTACGACCCCTCGACCTTGGCTGCGTTGATCGCCTTTCAAAGGAACACGCCACGGTAGGCTTCTGAGCGCAAACGATTAGCCTTGGAAATAATCGACGCATAATGGGAATGAAAGGAAAGCTTCGAGTCCAATACGACACCAAGACCCGTCACTTGATCCACTCTGCTAAAAAATTAGAGATACTATAGATTCCATAGATAAGCGGAGGCACAAAAAGTTTTTTTGGCAACCATGCAAAATAAACGATCTTACTGGCATCCGTGAAAAATGTGCATGCTATCATAGAGCTCTTCGTTGTGCAGTTTGTTTTGTTTCGTGCGCAACAGTTCAAAATTAAGTGCAAAGGAAATCTTTGCAACAATGAATCGAGCAGTGGTTTGCATTATATTCCCTTCTTCCGTTTTACGCGAAATAAATCGAAATGTGGAGTGTGGAAAGCGTTTTGTGCTCATAAAATTACAATACTTCTCCCGCAGAAAAGTTCATGCTGACGTCATGCTCGTTTGGCTACACTAACTGACAGCTCGTTTGGCTACATTCTACTTTACCTCCACTTATCTAT